CGCCGCCCGGAGCCGGGGAACGCGGCCGGAGCAAGGCGCGGGCTGTGGGGCCGCCGCGTGTCCGGCCCCGCTCGCCCGTGCCGGCCGCCAGCCCGCCATGCCCGGCTTCGACTACAAGTTCCTGGAGAAGCCCAAGCGGCGGCTGTTGTGCCCGCTGTGCGGGAAGCCCATGCGCGAGCCGGTGCAGGTCTCTACCTGCGGCCACCGCTTCTGCGACACCTGCCTGCAGGAGTTCCTCAGGTGCGGCTCGGGGACGGCTGGTGCTGCAGGTGGGGGTGGAGGCACTGCATGGGGAAGGGCTCGGGCCGCGCACACGTCGAGCCTTTGTCTGCGCTGCGGCCCGGTGACCTCAGGAGCGCCCACCGTGATGTCAAGGGGCGGCAGTGACGTCAGGGCCCTGGGGAGGCCCGCACGCCCTCAGGTGTTTCGGTCTCGGGTGCTACCTGCCCAGCGCCAAGTGGGAAAGATTCTGCCTCCCACGGGGCGGAGGAGAAAGACGTCCTTCCTGACCGGTGGCTGGCCCTTCCCCCTCACCTGGGAGCGGGGACCGCCTCCTCCTTGAACTTTGAATCCTTTGGGGAGGACAAAACCCCTTTCCCGCGCCGCACTTTAAGCCTCTGGAATTTTCACCCATCCGACCTCTTCTGATTCTCTCTGATGCTCGGAGCGGCTGCTATTGTTCTCCCATTTCACAGAAATTCCAAGCAAGGCTGCGACTTGCCCACGGTCACACCACTGAAGGTTGAGAATCAGGCCCGGGCTGCTTGGGGTCAGCTGTACAGTTTGCACTGTGACCTGCAGCCCTCCCCGCCCCCAAGCGGGACCCCTTCGGAGGTTTCCCCACACTGGGGTCTTGAGTACGGCAGGTGGCCAGTACCCGGATGAGGAGGAATCGCACCCTTGTTGCTACTAAATGTCCCCTGCCCTCTCTGGACCCAGGTCTTGCCTTGTCGCCCCAGGCATCCGCCAGGTTTCAGGACGCCCAGTGCGGGCTTGAGTCTTGTGCCTGCTGTGAGCTGTGGGGTGGGGGTATTTGAGCAGCCCTCAGTCCTGTGGCGGTCGTGCCCTAGAGCACAGGGAAAGCCGGGTCGGCTGCTGTCTGAGGCTGTTTGCTGTGCTGAGGGGCCCCGGCTGGGAGAGCACGTCTGGGACTCCTGCCTCAGTGCTCCCACCCGCGGCCTCGGCAGCCCCTGGCAGGCGGAAGTCTCAGCAGGCCCTTTGTTTTTTGTTCCCTGCAGCCGCTGGGCTCCTGCTCTTGCATATGCTCCAGCTCAAGCTGCGGTGCTGCCCCCTCCTCCCTTCTCTTCTCCCTCCTCCTTTCCGCCCTCCTCCCTGCAATGTACACACTGAACTCCCCTACAGACACACGGATCCATTGTCTCCCTAGCTCCTTTCCCGGCCTTCTGGCTTCCAGATGAGGCCAGCTGACCCACCCTTAACTGCCTCGGGGAAGGCGCGGAGAGGGGGCTGTCGGGCCCTGTTCCCTCCTCTTTCACCTCCTCCAACCCCACTGGTCTGCTGCCGCCCCTCCTCCTCCCGGAAATCCCCTCTTCCTCTCCCACAGCCCCCTCCCCCCATCCTGTCTTCTCCCCTGGGCCAAGGCCTCCCCTACTCAGCCAGGAGCTGCCTGTGCCTCTCCCCCTCCCCCCAAGGCCCGAGTTGTGTTGAGGCCTCAGGAGAGAAGAGGTGGTTGAGCAGGCTCTGCCCCCCACTATCACCCCTACCCTACAAGCTAGGTTGTCCATAGCTTTGGCTGAACCTTTGTCCTGGCTGGGCCCCAAGCTGCAGGGTAAGCTTCTGCCTGAAGCCTAAGGACTGGCTTAGTCCCCTTGCTGTCTCCAAAATCACGGGGTCAGCAATTCCTGAAGCAGCCAAGTGGACCACCCCTGGCCCACTCCTCTTTCCCCACTCCTGCCAGGGCTATTACTCAGGTTGAGCCAGGAAGACTGGTTGCCCTATGTGCCCAAGCACACCCCTTCAATGCCTGGGCATGTATTCTTTGCATTGGTGGCATGGCCAGGAAGAGGTGAGTGTTAAGAATTGTACTGGGCACCTGGGGTGTGGACTGCCCAGGCTCTGGAAAGTGCCTTCACAAGGCTGCCGTGTGGCCTCTGCTTCCGCCTTGAGGCTTGCCTGCCTCCCTCCTACCTGACTCAGACCTGCCAGGAATGCCATGCCTAGGGGCCTTCAGTCCTGGGTGAGCCCTTGTCCTGCCTGGGCCATGCCCATCACTGTGGCTGGTCTTGGTTGGGGTCATCAAGGACAGGAAGAAGCATGCCACCAGGATTCTTGGGTCCTAGGGTAGAGATTGGGGAGGATAAGGGACAGCTGGCAGAGGGGTGGGGTCACTAACTTTCAGAAGCCCAAAGAGTAGTCAACCATGTTGGCTCTGCTTACCCGGACATTTTGGCTTGCCCTGCCTCTGCTTTGTGAGCTGTGGTATCAGGCAGACGCACCTAGGTGCTGCTTCAGATGAGCCTGTATTTCCTTTCATCTGAGTGGGGACAGTCTGACCCTTCACAGAGGGAGGTGGTGAGGACTGGATGGGAGTGAGCACAGCCAGGGAGCTTGCTTTTCCTTCCTGCTCACTCTCTAGGAAGCACACCCTTAGAGAGGAGAGGGATAACATAAAGTACCCCTAAGCTGACCTTTGCCCTGGTCCTTGGCTTGGCACTTAATCCAAGCCCATCCCTGTATACCCTCCCATCTGCTTTCAGCACAGCCAGTGCAAACCACCCTGGGGGGGGGGGGGGGAGGCAGCCTGTTTCCAAGTCCAGCCCCCCACCACACATCTCCCCCCGTCGCTTCCGCCACGCCCGCGCCGAACCCCCCGTGGGGGGGGGGGTGGCAGGCAGCCTGTTTCCAAGTCCAGCTGCTGTCCTTGGGGGGAGGGGGTGCCAGCTGCCACCTGTTGGCCAAGTGTTGCTCAAGGCAGCTGTGTATGTCTACACTGGACCCAGAATCCCCCTTGGGGGGGGTCTTCTAGCACCCTGGAAAAATGAGTCGTCCCTGATCTCTGCTCCCCTCTGTCTCACCTTGGGCCAGCTAGAAACCAGTTGGCCTGGCAAGAGAGGGAGTCTGCCCAGGTTGAAGGGGTGAGGCCCAGAGCTTTGCTTTCCTATAATGAGCCTTGACCCTGCCTTCTCTCCCTTTAGTGAAGGAGTCTTCAAATGCCCTGAGGACCAGCTTCCTCTGGACTATGCCAAGGTGAGTCCACCATTGCTAGATTTAGAAGCCCAGGTAAGGTATAGGCTGTTGCCCTTGGTGGAGGCTGGAGCTGCTGGCAAATTAGCAGGCTCTGGGCCAACATCAACCCGAAGTCTCAGGATCATGTGCCCCCACAAAGGTAGCCTGTTCTCTCCTCACAAGCCAGTTTGCAAATGCTGTGTTTGCCCTGGAGGGCAGGCACAATGCCCAGCCTGTCGGGATGCACAGAGCTGCTCTGTGCACATGAGAAGTGCTCCCTCCCTTCCTGTGGCAAGTTTTACCCGTGGCAGAGGGCCAGGACCCCTCCACTAAGGGGGAAGACACAGAGGGTGATGGGATAGATATCCCAGGACCAAACTAGCTGATAGGTTGCCTGCCTCCCTGAAGGGAGCATGTTCCTGTGCATGATGAAGACTCTGGGTTCCAATTCACAGTATATACCACCCTCTAAGCCGTCATTCCTAGGGTACAGGGTGGCATATAGTCTGACAGGTCTTTACCCAAGAGGCTTTTACTAGTTTAAAGAGAGCCAGCTCAGCTGATTGTGGGAGTGGGTGGTTACTGGCAACTGACCCTGGCCAGTTTTCTCCATTCTCTGTCTGCAGATCTACCCAGACCCAGAGCTGGAAGTCCAGGTGTTAGGCCTGCCTATCCGCTGCATCCACAGTGAGGAGGGCTGCCGCTGGAGTGGGCCTCTTCGCCATCTACAGGTGAGGCTCTGCAGTGGTGAGCTGGGACTCCCCTTCCCTGGCAGACACTGATGGCAACTCCTCCCACCAGGGCCACTTGAACACTTGTAGTTTTAATGTAGTCCCCTGTCCGAATCGGTGCCCAGCCAAACTGAGCCGCCGAGATCTGCCTGCACATTTGCAGCACGACTGCCCTAAGCGCCGCCTCAAGTGCGAGTTCTGTGGCTGTGACTTCACTGGGGAGGCCTATGAGGTAGGTGGGGCCAGGTGAAGGGAGAGTGGGACACCTGGTTGCTCAGACATCCTTTAACTTAATCCCTCTGGAATTTCCAGAGCCACGAGGGCATGTGCCCCCAAGAGAGTGTGTACTGTGAGAACAAGTGTGGTGCCCGCATGATGAGGCGACTGTTGGCCCAGCATGCCACTTCTGAGTGCCCCAAGCGCACCCAGCCTTGTGCCTACTGCAACAAGGAGTTTGTCTTTGACACTATCCAGGTGAGGCCCTTCTTGACCTGTGGCCTGTGGGCAAGTAACAGAGTCAGGTTACTGACCACTACTTCTGTCTCTTCTCCTAGAGCCACCAGTACCAGTGTCCACGGCTGCCTGTGCCCTGCCCCAACCAGTGTGGCGTAGGCACCGTGGCTCGGGAGGACCTCCCAGGCCATCTGAAGGATAGCTGTAGCACTGCCTTGGTGCTCTGCCCTTTCAAAGAGTCTGGCTGCAAGCACAGGGTAAGATGCCCCCTTTTCCTGTCAGCTCCTCTTTAGCCCTTGAAGTCCTAGACAGGCTGTTTGCTGGCATAGTTGAGGCCTTGGTGGGTCCCTGCTAGCCAGTTCTAGCTTCTAGCACTTTCAGTCATCCTCCTGTGGAATTGAGTGCCTGCTGTCCCTACCTTTTCCCATCTCCCCTGAACCTTCCTCTTTTGGTAACTTTCTTTCCTTTCCCCGTGGCTTGGGGTTTTGCCAACAGTGTCCAAAGCTAGCAATGGCACGGCATGTGGAGGAGAATGTGAAGCCACATCTGGCTATGATGTGTGCCCTGGTGAGCCGGCAACGACAAGAACTGCAGGACCTGCGGAGAGAGTTGGAGGAGCTCTCCATAGGCAGTGATGGTGTGCTCATCTGGAAAATTGGCAACTACGGGCGGCGATTACAAGAGGCCAAGGCTAAGCCTAACCTGGAGTGCTTCAGCCCAGCCTTTTACACACATAAGTATGGTTACAAGCTGCAGGTGTCTGCGTTCCTCAATGGCAATGGCAGTGGTGAGGGCACACATCTCTCGCTCTACATTCGTGTGCTGCCAGGTGCCTTTGACAATCTCCTGGAATGGCCCTTTGCCCGTCGTGTCACCTTTTCCTTGCTGGATCAGAGTGACCCAGGTTTGGCTAAGCCACAGCATGTCACTGAGACCTTCCACCCCGATCCAAACTGGAAGAATTTCCAAAAGCCTGGCACTTGGCGAGGCTCTTTGGATGAGAGTTCTCTAGGCTTTGGATACCCCAAATTCATCTCTCACCAGGATATCCGAAAGCGAAATTATGTGCGAGATGATGCGGTCTTTATCCGTGCCTCTGTTGAACTGCCCCGGAAGATCCTCAGCTGAGAGCTTAGCTTTCTGGGCCAAAGGGGGTAGGGAGATGGGACATGATCTTATTTAGGCACTGGCTGAAACTAGAGAGGGGGCTGGATCCCTTTTCAGCTGCTTCTGCCTAGGTTACCCCACTCCCTACCACCACCTCCCCCACCACCACCCTCAGGTGCCTCCAAATGGTGCTTCAGCCCTGGCCCCTGGGGGGAGCAGGTCGCTGGGTTATCAAGGGCTGGAAACAAGTGATCCCAGGGCCTGTCTCCCCTCCTGGGCAAGGCAGACATGCCTTGGTGCCAGCCACATTCTACCTGGATTAATGTACCTGCTCAGGTGCTATGTCCCAAGAGCCATAGTGTGTGTGTGTGGGGGGGTGCTGGAAAAAGGAGGGGTAGTTAAAAGAATCTGCCTTGAGATTAATCTCTTTCCCTCTACTCACCTGTGTCCTCTGGTTATTTATTTCTTCAGTGCTAGGAGGGCACAGCAAGGGAACCTTGATTTTTAATAAATCCTGAATTGTATTTATTAACTTGATTCCAGCCTGTCTCCTCCCAGTTGGTTATGCCCTAGGAGGCTGGGCCTAACAAAGACTGGTAGGTGAACTGTTTTGGTTGCAGCATCCAACTCCTCTGGTGGGCGATGTGGGTATTGCAGCAGACTGTGGGCCAGTTGCCTGCCAGTACCCTCTGGTGGTTTGATGGAAGAGGCACAAAGACTGATTGTCCCATAAGGCTAGAGTTTCTGGTCTGATTATCTGTCCCTAAGCAGGTCTTTTTTAGTCATCAACTACTATTCACTGAGTGTTTTTGTTTGGTATATGCACGTGCAGGGCAGAGGTCAATGTGAGATGTCTTCTTTGGTCACTCTTCACCTTATGACACAGGGTCAAAACAAAACCTGGAGCCCACTGATTCTTTAAGACTAGCCAGTGAGCTCCAGAGATCTGATTGCAGCCTCCTGGGTATGAGGCTTATAGGTGCACACCACCACCACATCCAGCTCTTTATGTGGGTGCTGGGAATCCAAACTTGGGTCTTTGTACTTGCATGGCACTTTTACCAAATGAGGCATCTCCCCAGCCCAGGGACTTTTCTTGTGGCAGCTGCTACTAAACACTTTATATGCAGTAAAAAGTGAAATGGCCAGCCGGGCATGGGGGCGCATGCCTTTAATACCAGCACTTGGGAGGCAGAGGCAGGTGGATCTCTGTGAGTTCAAGGCCAGCCTGGTCTACATAGTTCCAGGACAGCTGGGGCTACAGGGAGACCCCATCTCAAAAAGACCAAAAAAAAAAGTGAAATGGCTTTTACCATCAGAATAAAAAGGCCTTCATATAGAGAGACTGCACATTCCTTAATGAATATTAAATGAGTTGAAGCTCAGTCCAAACTTGAGACTAAGCTGAGTAAAGAAGGCCTTCAAGATATACAAAGCACTTGGAATTTGTCACCTATTTGTTTTTTTGTAAAGGCCTCCCTGAATAGTTGCCTGTGATTACATACAGTTCACCAGAGAACTAAGAAGCAAACTGATTTATCTTAGTGTTCCTTCAGCTGGTTTGTGGCAGAGCCTGGAATTTTTTTTTTTACTGGTACATGCCAAAAACACTAAATACATGCTTGGCCCCTGGATTCTTAACTCCAGACTACTCTAAATTTGGGAGTTTTTGGCATGTTATTTAGCTACATGGGGTTATCAACTACCCTTATGGGTCAAATGAGTTCTGTTCAAATCTTGGATTTTGTTGTAATGATCAGAGGAACTCATTAACAAAGTGCTGCTGACTGAGATGAGACCTGGAGTCTGGACACTACTTTGTAGTAAGGGAAAACTCAAGATCTGTTCCACAGAGGGAGGGAGAAAGCACCTTTGAAGGGAGTGAGGGCTCCAGAAGCCCAAGGAACCTAGCTAAAAAAGCCAAGATGGTCACTCAGACAAACCAGCTTGGTAAAAAGCTACTTGGAAACTGGTAGAGAAAACCAAACAAATGAAACTACTCTTCTAGCATCTGATAGAAGCCAGCTAGGATCAAAGCTGGGCTTCCAGTGGCCTGCTAGACCAGTGCATGACTGAAGGGTGCACTTTTGCAGTTCTAACAATGCTTTACAGTTGATCTTGGAACTCAAGTTTGGTGGGCCTGGTCCTCATTCCAGTGGAAGTCATAACATTGTAGAACTTGAGCATGAGCTGTACTCCCTGAGCATCTACTTCAGCCCAAGAGTACTGCAGAAAGCTGGGCTCACCTGCCTGTCTAGCTTTGCCAGTTGGTAGAATACAGGCTTCCTTTTTGTTTACAGAGGGCCTGCTTGCTTAGGAGTAAGGGAGTTGGCACTTTTAATAGAAGGGCATGCCATGTGAAGAGGGCTTTGAGTTCCATGTTGTGTCATCCTCTCCTGGAAACCATGTTCTATCAGTTTGACTTCACTCTAATCTTTTCATCAAATCATAGCTAAAACACAAACTTAGCAAAAAGCAAGCAGGTAATTGACAACCCCTCCCCAATAACCAGAAAAACCTCAAATATTCCATATAGGAGCAATGCAAATCACCAACATGGAGAAGGGTGAGGCAGCTTCTTATTAAGGATTATAGTACCTATTACATCCACATGTTAGAAGCATTAAGCAATTCTAGTTTGCAGGTGGGAGGGAGGTTAAAATTTTCTGGTTGGCCTATTGGCTGACCAGTGGTCCTTGGGGTGAAAGTACTGCAGGAACCTGTGAGCCTCCATTGAAGCAGCAAGCCATGCTACTTATGAATTTCCACATGGGCCTCTTTCAATGACCTAGGCAGAGGCCTCCCAGCTGAGCCTGTCTATGCATGGCCTAAAGTCAATCTCAGTCTGGGAATAGAATACCCCTGCTGCCACCACAGAAATAAATTCCCCTTTGAGAAAGAGACGTTACAAACCATTGTGATAAAACCATCTTAATCATTCACATTAAACGAATAGGACAAGGTCAAAAGGTGAGGTTTTTTTGTTTTACTGGTTTATAATTTAAAAACCCCATCACACCTATAAATCACCACAGATGAGGTGAAAGATGGAGAATGAATGCTACAGTATGGATAGAGAGGGGAATCCAGGTATTCCCTTGGGGTGGCATGGGTTCTTGGAGGCAGGGAGTATGGACATGAGGCCTTGGCTTGGACCCTTATTGCTGTTGGGGTTGGCTGGTGGGGACAGGGACAGATGGAGGACTCAGGCTGAACTAGTAAACATCTCACCAAAGTCCAGGGCAGTTGGGGGTATAAGGGAATCACAGTACATTTTCCATGCAGACGAGGTGGGAGTAAGAGCTTCAGAGATTTGTACCCCTGCACAAGAAAGGGGTTTGAGGTGGTTTCAAAGCCCCCAAGCTGGTGTCTGGTCCAGTTTCCTACAGTGGCAGCTCCCCTCCCAGGGAGGGGCATTGGGGGCAAAACTACAGCAAGAATCTGATCTGGAAGTCAAGCAAGAGGTAAAGGGAGATAGTGGTACTCTTTAAATCAGAAAAGCAGCAAGTGAAAGAGAGCCCTGGGTGAGATAGTGGCTAACACCTTGAAGGCATCACACCAGAAATTGCGGGGGCTCAGGGGCAGCAGTACCAGTGTTCACAGACCGCAGGAAAACAGAACAATAAATTAGGACTTCATGTTGCTATCATTTGGCATAACACACTCAGGCATTTTTCCTTTTTTTTTTCTTTTTTAAATATAAGGCAACTTGCCAACACATAATTTAAAAATTGGTCTTCAGTCACATTGTTTCAGATCACTAGAGAATTTCTGGCTAAGGAACAGTAGACAGTAAACAGAACCCAAAATCTTAAATTATCAGCTCACATTTCCCAAAGACAAGAGGAAAGGCAAGGACTTATTTGGTTTTTTTAAAAAAAAGAGCCCAACTGTGCATCTTTAAACAGAAGATAGGTGCAAAACTACAACAAAACAATCTAAAGTTACAGAGAAGTGTTGAATTTCTAGCCAACTAATTGTCACTTGGGAATGGATGCACTGAGAATGGACAGGGGCAAGAAGGGCTGTGTCCAATGGCAGCCCTCTCCAGTGGTCAGAACCATGCTCATTTGGTAGAGGAAGAATTCAAAGAGCTTAAGGCTTTGTGTTTTTTCTTTCGTTCTTGAGTTAAACTGAGGGGCTGCAAAAGGTGACTAAGAGGGCAAATGTACCTGTGGGGCCACTCATACACACAACGCTACTCAAACTCACTACATTCATACAGAAACATGACATTTAAAACGTACAGTGTAGAGCAATATTCTTAGCCAGTGTAGAGAGAACCAAATGCATTTTAACTTTTTTGGTGTATTAATTCCAAACTCCAATGTGATCATCCTTTACCTATAACTAATTCTTCAAGTAAGGTAGTTGTTTGTTTTGCTTGTTTTTTAAAGGGAGAAGGAAGGTAGGGATGAGGACAACAGTTGAGTTTGGAGGCAACAGTGACAAGAGGTCTTGGGAATGCCAGATGCCCACTGTATTTCTGTCCTGAAGAGTTGGGAACCAAGATGCCAATATAAAAATTTTCTTCTCCAAGTCTCAAGGCTTTGGCAAGGACAAGTGCAACAGCTTGGAAGCAATGTAAATGGAAACAAAGCCTTGAGGAGTGGGAAACAGTTGGGGAGATTGGTTTGTTTTGATTTGACATCTTTGGGTGAAAAAAGAATTTAAGATTCCAGAGCACTTGGAAAGTCTGGCTTCTTAGTCCTTGACAGGTCTAGCTTAGGGACCTAGACCACTCTCCTCAGCCACACCTCAATCCCAAGAGAAAGAGGGAGAGGTTTAGCAAGTGTTTAAGGTGGAAAGACTAATAGGCAGGCAGATAGCTAAGAGAAAAGGGTTAGCATCTAACATAAAAACCAAGAGATGCTAGAGGGCAAGGTTAAAGGACCCTCTTCTGCCCCCAAAGAGACCCTGCCAAGTTCCCTTCCTTAGATATCTAAGGACGATCACACTGGAGAGGTGAAACTTTGAAACTATCCAGTTACGTAAAAGACTAAACCTAGAAGGGCGATGTAGTATGACATGTTGCTTGAGGGCACCACGGCTCCCTATCTATACCCTGGGTGTTGAATATGAAGATTTCGGCTATCTGTGTGGTCAGGGGCTCGGGTGCCAGGGACTCGGTGGGCCTTGCTCAGCATGACCAGGCTCTGTTCTCGGAAGCAGGCCTGCTGGAAATCGCCACTTAGGTAATCCACCGTTTGCACCAAGCTGTTCTGGCTTGCCAGTGAACCGCCCCCAGTCCCTGCTCGGTAGTGGGCCCCAGAAGCTGCTGCACAGTCGAGGGGTGCACCTGTGGGTTGCCCACCATGGAATGGCATAGCGAGGTCCTGAGACCCCGAGCTGTCGCTATTAGGAGTGGGCAGAATGTTGTTCCACAGGGGTTGGAAGTAGTGACCATTGGGGTAGGCCAGTGGTGCTGGCAGGCCGTTGACTGGTGGGGATGGGGTAGGCTTCTCCAGGGGTGGCTTCAAATGGAAGGACTGTGCCAGGCAGAGTTCCTGCGGGTAGGCAGGGGCCTTGCTTACAAAGCCAGGCCCTGCCAACTCGCGTCCTGCTGCATGCTTGCCTGTCAGGCCAGGGACTGGTGTTCCACCAGCCTCACTGCACATCTGTTGCAGGTGGGCCAGCTGGTGCTGGTTCCAGGCGACTGGTTTGAGGTCGCTAGGGTAGCCAGTAGGGGCTCGAGAAATGCCTGCAGGCAGGTTGACAGGACCTGCAGTAGGCAATGCGGCTGTGGCCGCATGGGTGTGCTCCATGGGATTGACCACACATGAAGGCATTGGTGTGGGGATGCTGTGGGTCGACACCCGGGTGCTTGCATTGATGAGCAGACTGCGACTAATGGGGCTGGGGTTGGCGATCTGACCCTCACACACTGAGGTAGTGCTGATGCCTGCCCTCGTCTGGCAAAACTGGTTGATCTGGTGCACGATGCTGCTCAGGTCCGGGGGCTGGCTGTGCTGCAGAGTGGCCGCCATTGAAAGGGGAATAGTTGAGGTAGACACGGTCACATTCGGGGGGGCATCTGAGTCTGGCATCTTCCGGCCTCCATGCAGCAAAGGATTAGGGGGGTGCTGGAGACCCTGGTGAGTCAGGGTCTGAGGGTGGACCAAGCCCTGGGTTTGGGCCATGGGCTGAGGGTGGCTCAGGCCCTGAGCCTGCTGGAGGCTCTGAGGGTGAGACAGTGCCTGTGGTGGGATACCCTGAGGGTGTTGCAGCGTCTGGGGAGGGGCATGGGCCAGGGTCTGTGCATGCTGCAGGGCCTGCTGGCGGGCCAGAGCCTGGGCCTGGGGGTGAGCTAAAGTGCTGGGTGCCACAGTAGCATAGGGTGCCACTGGGGGGTTCATGATGGCCTCAGGGAGTAACCGGGCTCGGGTGCCGTCAAAGTCCTTGAGTATGCTTTTGGCTGGCACTTTGACAATGGCAAGCAGGCCTGCCTTGGTGGCAGCCTGAGTCGGGTAGGGGCTGTAGCGCTGGGCTGATGTGTCGAGGCCGTTCACAGTACGACGAACGTGTTTCCGCTGGGGAACCTTCACACTGTTGGGGAAGATTTTTATAGTCAGTGGGTTGTTTGCGACCTTCTTAGCATACGCGTCCAATTCGGCTGGGGTAGGATAGTGAGCAGTTCTCATTTTCTGTGTAGTGTCCCCTAGAGAGAGAGAAAGAAAGAGAAAGGGGGGAAGGAGAGCAGAGAGGAGGGGAGCTCATCAGTGCCAAGCCAACCAGCCTTTCTAGAGTCCCCTGTTGAAGCTGTGGGGAAGATCAAGTTGTCATCTGTAGCTTTTACTCTAAATCTAGCCACACTCCCCACAATCACAAGCGGAGCTGGACATTCTCTAAATATGCACAGTAGGCCAGGCCTGACACTAAGGACTTTTAATGATTCTTACTACTGCTATAGGAGGCAAGTATATTGTGAGACCCATTCTATAAATGAGGTCTCTAAAGATCAGATGGCAAAGCAACTTCCCAAGTCTCTATTTGGAAAGCCAGAACTTAACCAGTTCTCAAAGAGGTAATCAAGAATTCTTTACTACATGGAATTCTTAAGTCCTACCAACCCAAGATGGCACAGGGTAAATGGTTTTAAGCAGAGCTGCCTATCAGTGCCTTCCTCAGTCCCTCTTCATGACACTCTGAAAAACAGGGTATATCCTGAGTCGCTACTATTCAGTTTGCAGGGACCAGCGAGGCATTAGTTTTCTCTTATAAAAGGCAGCTGAGGTGCCACAGTCATGGGTAGACATGCCCATCTGGCACAGAGAACAAGACACTTTTTCAGGAGAGGAGGAGGAAGCTGCCAACATCTCAAGTTCACTTCTGTTTACAGTTTACTCAGTGCCTGACTGGTTGAAGATCAAAAGGCTTTATTATTTGCCTGTGTGAATGGAGGATAATAATAAATGACAGGGCAGCAGGGAGGGAACTGAGAAGAAAAGGATTCAGAGCATCTCTAAGTTCTAGGTGCCAAAAATAGTCTATATTTGGTCCATGTCAGCTGTCACTTTCCAAAAAGAAAGAGGAAAAACCTGCCTTCCTTTGGGAGACTGTAGAAATAAATACCTACTCAATGTGCCTCATTAATGTTAACAGTCTCTTTGTTCCCATCTCTCCGGGTGCCTCCCATTGGGGGTTCCAGTGGATACTGGGCTTACGAAAGGAAAACTTTCTCATAACAAGGGCTCTTTAAGGATGCCATGCTCCTCCTACAAGGGATCTCTTCTCTTAGAGAAGGAGTCTACCGTGTGTGTGTGTGTGTGTGTGTGTGTGTGTGTGTGTGTGTGTATACAAAAAGTGCTTAATGAGTACTTCCTGAATGAGTAAGTAAATATGCACTGTCCAGAGCAGAAGGAAAATGGCTTGGCTAAGAGCCTGGGCTCAGCTGGCTGATTCTCCCCTACTTCCTCTCCTGGCAGAAAGCAGCCAGGAAAGAGCAAAGGCTAATCTGCTGAATACCCAGCTGGTAGCTTCAGCAGGCCTTGGCCCAAAGGAGACTCCATTCAAAGTCATGTCACTGGGCATCAACTGGAACAGAAGCAGAATAGGGAGTGTGTTAGAAGGAACACGGCACAGCTGTCTGCATAGAAACTGCTGCTCCCTGAAGCAGGAAACAAAAAAGTTCAAGTCTAGAAGAAGCAGAGTGGTATTTGGTCTCACCCTCAAAAAAGCAGACCTGAGGGATGGAGATGTAGCCAGTGCTGTAGATGGTTTTTTTGTTTGTTTTGTTGTCTTTTTTTGTCTTTTAGAGATAGGGTCTCCCTGTAGCCCCAGCTGGCTTAGACTATGTAGACCAGGCTGACCTTGAACTCACAGAGATCTGCCTGCCTCTGCCTCCCAAGTGCTGGGATTAAAGGCATGTACCACCATGCCCCGCTCCATAGATGTTTTTCTTATCAGTCTGTAATACTGGGCAATATACTACAGATACCAATCACCCTATGAACTCAAGAGAGAAAAAAGTTCTCAGAAACCCTCTCTGTAACTTCAAAAAAAAAAAAAAAAAGGCTTAAATAGCTGGTTTATTATTAATAGGGACTTAGGGCAGTACAAAGAATTAGGAATCTGAAACTAGAAAAATATGTTAATATGTCACAGAATTATTAAGATTATTAAGATTTTTCCTGATGAACAGGAAAAATGTTGCATGAACATGACCGACAGCTGTTTATAGGCATTCAAGAACAGCAGGTGTGGCTGAGTTACATACAAACACACAAATAAGAAAACAGAAATGTAAAATCCTCAATACAGTGCCTTACATATAGTAAGCACTAAACAACTGAGTTTATCCAGTCTTTGGTTCAATTCACCATTTCCATGCCCTTCCACTAGGGGGCATGCCAGTATCTAAAGTAAAAAGTAATTTCAGTATTTGTCCCAGGCTCTCAAGGCTTTGTCAATGCAGATCAAAACTGCCCACTAAAAGAGAGTATGAGAGCATACCTGTGATCTCAATACTTTGGAGGTAGAGACAGGAAAACCAGGAGTTCACAGAGTTGACTACACAGAGTTCAAGGCTAGCCTAGGACACCTGAGACTCTTGCTTCATAACAAACAAGCAAACAAACAAACAAGCAAACAAACATAACAAAAAGATGGTGTGAGGATCAAGGGTTTTTGATCATTTCAGTCATTTTGCCTGTGACTGTTTTGTTTTGTCTTTTGAGACATGGTTTCCCTGTAGCCCCCACTGGCCTGGAACTTGCTATACAGACCAGGCTGGTCTCAAACTCACAAAGATCCGCCTGCCTCTACCTCTGCCTCCGAAGTGCTGGCATTAAAGGTGTGCACCACCATGCCCGGCAACTGTGACTATTTTTTTTTTTTTTTTTTTTTTTCTTTTTCAGACAGGGTCTCCCTATAGCCCCAGCTGTCCTGGAACTCACTATGTAGACCAGGCTGGCCTTGAACTCACAGAGATCCACCTGTCTCTGCCTTCCAAGTGCTGGGATTAAAGGCATGTGCCACCATGCCTGGCTTCTTGTTTTTTTGAGACATGGTTTCCCTATAGCCCCAACTGGCCTGGGACTCGCTATGTAGACCAGTCTGTCTCACAGAGATCTGCCTGCCTCTGCTTCCTGAGTGCTAAGATTAAGTGTGTGTGCCACCATGTTTGGCTGTGACTTTTTAAATAAGATTACTTTTATTATTTTTATTTGTGTGTATGCCTGTGTGCATGTGTGCCTTTGGAAGCCAGAAGGTGCCCCTGGAGCTGGAGTTACAGGTGGTTGTGAGTGTCTTGTACTGGGAAATGAATTCAGGTCCTATGGAAGAATAGCAAGTGCTCTTAACCACTGAGCTGTCTCTCTAGGTGCCTCATTTGTTGTTGTTTTTCTGAGATGGTCTTATTATACAGCGCTGGCTGACCTATAGACTAGGTTGGCCTCAATCTCATAGATATTCACCTGCCTCACCCATGCTGGAATTAAAGGGGTGTGCCACCATGTCTAGCTGCCCTATTTTGATAAGCCACTGATATATAACTGATGCTGAACTAGGAAAAGGAGCAGAGGCTGGGGTTAAGGAAGAAAAAAAAATTCCAAATCATTTTCTGGAGCATTGGGAAAAGATGGGTCAAGAGAAAAAAAAAAAAACAAAACAAAAAAACCCAAAAAAACAAAAACAGCAAGCACAGAGTTCCTAAACACCTGAAGACTCTCAAAGCAAGTAACATCATAGCACATACAATCTAGAAAAGCTCTAGGTCATCTACCTAATTCCAAGCTACCAAACCCAAGCAAAGCCAAGATGTTCTGGGTTTATTCTGGTTTTCAGATAGGGTTTTGCTTTGTAGCCCACGCTAGTCTTGAACCAGCAATCCTCTAGCCCCAGTCTTTCAAGCACTGACATTATAGGTATGCACCACCATACTAGGCAAATGATTCTTCTTTTGTTAGCACAGAGCCTCCCCTGTCACATTATTGTATGTCTCCAAGTATGCTTCCTCATTTGTGTCCCAGAAGCCAAGTCTTAGTGTGCTGATTTTGATGATCATAGAAAACATATAATATTTTCACCCAATCATCATTAGGACAAAGGTTAGGGCTGGGGATATAGCTGTGTGGTTGAGCACTTGTCTAGCATGTGTGAGACCCTGGGCTGGACATCCATCATAAAGAGAGCAGGAGAGTTGGAAGGTAAGAGGAAAAAGCCAAGTTGAGAATACTGGCACAGCAGAGCTTGCTTACTGTGTCAAGCAGTATAGAAAGCAGACTGTCACGTTCATCTTTGTCCTTTCACAGAGTCAGATTCAGACAAATTCAAAACTAGCAAGGCTCTGATTTTGTTCCCTCAAAGAAATGAAGTCAGGAGGGTTCTGGTTTTGTTTTTTTGAAATAGGGTTTCATATATCTCAGGCTGGCTTTAAACTCAGTATGTGGCTGAGGCTAGTCTTGAACTTCTCTGGTCCTCCTGCCTCTACCTCCTAAGTGTTAAGTTATAGTCATGTGCCAACATGCCTGGTTTATGCAGTGCTGGGGGTTAAATCCTAGGGCTTTGTACATGCCAGGCAAGGACTCTTACCAACTGAGCTACATCCTCTGCCCTAATTTTATTTTTACTTTTGTTTTGATACAGGGTGTCAGAACTAAGCTATCTGGGTTGGCCTTGAACTTGTGACCTTCCTGCCTCAGTTTCCCAAATAGCTGAGATTATAGGCCTGTAGCACCATACCTACTGAGACTTGACTATTTTTGGTCTTTTTGAGATAGGGTCTCCCTCCCTGTAGCCCCAGCTGACCTGGAACTCACTATGCAGACCAGGCTGGCCTCAAACTCACAGAGATCCACCTACCTCTGCCTCCCAAGTGCTAGGATTAAAGGCATGCGCTACCACGCCTGCCCGACTGAGACTTGACTATTTTTAACTTCTGATGTGCTCACAGAGCAGGGATCAACAAACCATTTCCAATTTGCATGCCAAGTATAGTTGCAGGGTTCTTTGATAGAAACGTCACCAAAATGAAACTACACTCACTTGTTTGCATGTTGTCTATGGTTGCCTTTGCTCTGTAACAGCAGGGCTGAGTACATGCAACAGAGTATGTATGGTCTACAAAGCCAAAAATATCTGCTTTCTGGCATTTACAGAAAAAGTTTGCTAATGGTTGTCATGAAGGCTCAAGTAAAGTACTATACTATTAAAGGAAAGCCTTAATGCCTCATTGATTAGCCTTTTTTGCTCTGAAAGAAAGGTTTATGTAAAATTCAGGGATTTTTTTTTTTTTTTCTTTTTCTTTTGGTCTTTTTGAGACAGGGTCTCTCTGTAGCCCCAGCTGTCCTGGAACTCACTATGTAGACTAGGCTAGCCTTGAACTCACAGAGATCCGCCTGCCTCTGCCTCCCAAGTGCTGGGATTAAAGGCGTGCGTACCACCATGCCCAGCAAATTTTTTAATATTCTATTTATTATTTTTATTTTATGTGTATGAGTGTATTGCCTGCATGTATGTGAGTGCACTCATGTCGTGCAATGCTGCAGAGGTCAGAAGAGGGCTTCGATTTCCCCTGGAACTAGAGTTAAGGACGGTTCATGGCCGCCATGTGAATGCTGGGAATTGAACCCGGGTCCTCTGCAAGAGCAGTCAGTGCTCTTAACCATTGAGCCATCTCCCAGCCCCAATTCAGGGGTTTTTAAACTAAGATATTATACATATAGTAACGAGTCAGAAATCAAGTATTTTCCTTGCATATCATGTAGTAAAGGAGGAGAAGGTAGGAATCTGGGAAAGCACAAAATTCCAATTTCATCCAATTAAGACAGGAATCTAACAGACTTCTCAAAGGCTCAATCAAGTGGGAAGTATCCTGGATACAAACACCCAGAGAGCCTGAGAAAGCCATCTCCTAACCTTTCTGAGGGCAAAAGCTTCTTTACTTCCTGTGACAGAAAATCATGTTGGCTCAGAAGGTAGACAGCACAGCCAGGGAGAATTGCCTGTTTCCATGGCAGAATATATTCAGAGAGCAAAACATCACTGACAATGTAAATATTATTTCAGAGGTTGAAAAAAAAAGTTATCTGGACTATGAATTTTCTCAGTCAGTTCCTTGTGAGGTTTAAAGTGAACATGCCTTTTAAAATTTATTTTTTTTAATTAAAAACAATTTTTTTTTTGGTCTTTTTGAAACAGGGTCTCCCTGTGGCCCCAGCTGTCCTGGAACTCACAGAAATCTGCCTGCCTCTGACTCCCAAGTGCTGGGATTAAAGGTGTGTGCAACCATGCCTGGCTATTTTTTCATTTTTTATTTTTTGGTCTTTTTGAGACAGGGTCTCCCTGTAGCCACAGCTGACCTGGATTTGCTATGGAGACCAGGCTAGCCTTGAACTCACAGAGATCCACCTGCCTCTGCCTCCCCAGCGCTGGGATTAAGGGCGGCAGAAAACACTTTTAAAAAAAAAAAATTTTTTTTTTAATTTTTATTTCATGTGTTTGAGTGTTATGGCTGCAGGTACGTGAGTGCACCTGTGTCGTGCAATGTCACAGAGGTCAGAAGAGGGGATCAGATTCCCCTGCAACTGGAGTTAAGGATGGTTCTAAGCCACCATATGAATAATGGGAACTGAACCCAGGTCCTCTGCAAGAACAGTCAGTGCTCTCAACTGCTGAGTCATCTCTTCAGTCCCTGAAAACACCTTTTTGAAGAGCGAAATGATATATAACCTATAAAGCTCCTTGTACCTTTGTTGTACAACAGAAAGCTGTCAGTAAGATCACACATTCTGAGGAATTATAGTATTTGAAAAGAGTTCTCTGATCACAAAAGTGTATCACGCTGCTGACAGAGTCTTTGGATCTGCTTTCCTGCACTATCCACTGATGAACACCTTCAAAGTACCAAAATTCAGGTCAATGCACCCTAAATGGGCCTCTGGGATAGCCCATTATGTAGGGGGACGAAACAAAGGATCATACTCCTTACCCATGGATCCAGACTACTTACATTTCTGAAGTCCAGTGTTCATCTGCGTGTGAGAAAGAAGCTGAAAGGACAGGTCACCTGGCCCTGGCAGACAGGCGAGCATGGCAGACCAGCATCAACACAACATGGGGCAGTGGCTCACACTGTAACAAACAAAAAAAGCAAGGTCGTCATAGAATTCATGGCAACTCAGTCAAGGAAAGTACCAGGGATACTTGGATAGCAGCAGCAAAGGCCCAAGTACAGACAGATAAACAACTTAATTAGCAGCACACTGGTTCAAAATTTATTGACATTCTACCTGTAGCAACAATTCACTCTCAACCATTACTATACGTAATGGTATGCTACCATACGGTATTTCAGTCTGCACATGTGGGGGTGGGAGAAATAAACACTGGGAAATACCTATCAATACAAGTAATTGAAAAATTCAGGTACAACTGTAAAGCTTGAAGAGCTAAGACTTTTTTTTAAGGCTTAGCAGTCCATCTGCAGCTCTGCTGGGGGACCAGGACAGTCAGATATTTCCAGAGGAAGTACAGTATACAATCTGTAAAGATATTCCAAGTCTGATTTGTGATCTGGTAATCTGAACTTACTTTTTTGGGTTTCTATTTTGTGTGATGGAGCCCAAGTGGGGTTCAAACTAGCAATCCTTCTGCCTTAGCTTCCTGAAGTGCTGTGACTACAGGCATGTGCCATGTGTGCAAAGCATTCTAGGAGGCACAATTAACCTTTAAAGGGAATTCTATTTGTGAATTCTGAGGAACTTGCCTTTACTACTGTTTACTATACAATCAGACTTTCTGTACATTAAAAAAAAGTAGAGAGAGCACTGTTTGCAGAGTAAAGCAAAGAGGTAGCAGGTTGCTAGAAGCCCTTTTGGGCAGATAATCTGAATATTATATCAAGATGACATGAATTTGTTTATACATAACAAGACACATGTAACAGCCTGCACAAAGACTCCTGTAGCAAAGGGAGTCCTGTCAAGGAAGATGTTCTCTTTATGTACCAGGAATGAAGTTTTCTCAAATAAGCAGATTATGGGGGCTAGAAAGATGGCTCAGAGGTTAAAAGAACTGGCTGCTCTTACAGAGGACTTGGGTTCAATTCCCAGGACCCATACTGCAGCTAACTCCTGTCTGTAACTCCAGTTCCAGGGGAATCCAACACCCTTTTCTGGCCTTCTTTGGCACTGCATGACACAGATGCACTTACATGCATGCAAGCAATACAATCATATACATAAAATATTTTAAAAAAATAAACAGACTATGATAAAATATATGAACTTCCTTCTCAATACTGTAAAACCTGGAAGTCAAGGCAGCACATTATAGTTTTAATTCATAACAAAAAAGGAGGGAAAGCGCAAATGTTAAACACAGACCACAAAACCTTTCTTTTAGACCACTCTATGGAAAGCAAACTACCTTGTCAGGGTGAGTATCAGAGAGACTGCAAGAGATCAGGTGGCTGAAAAGACACTTTGTAACAGAGGCCGCTTAAACTGTGTCTAAGACAGCAACTACAGAAAGAAGACTGATGGTTCAATGAAAACAGAGCTGTCCCAGAGTTCTGGCACAGAGTCAACCTTTGTGGGTCTCTTTGGGTGAGACTAAAGAATGCTGACAGCATGCCAACTGCAGTGCCCCAAGAAATGTCTTCTGTTGGAGTTGGATGATTGAGGTGCTGCTTACAATCCTTTTCCATGTGAATGCTGATCTCTTAATAGCCTTTTCCTTATGATTCTAATATAGTGAGCAAATTTCAAGGGAAAGAAGGAATTAACATATAGAGCCATGTGTCTTGTAACACTTTAGTCAATGATATGATGGTGGTTCCATAGGATGGCAGCAGAACTGGAAACAGCTTTTCCTACCTCCACCCTTGGATTTTCAGAGTTTTGCAATGCAGCCCTGGTTAGCCTAGAATGCTCTGTAGACCAGGATGGCCCTAAATTAATGGTGATCCTCTTGCCTTTGTTTCCCAGGCGCTGGGATTACAAGCACCACTACCACCACTACTGCTTAGTATTTTTAAAAAACATTTTTTTGGGGGGGGGGGTGGTCTTTTTGAGACAAGGTTTTCCTGTAGACGCAGCTGGCCTGGATTCACTAATGGAGACCAGGCTGGCCTCGAACTCACAGAGATCCACCTGCCTCTGCCTCCCGAGAGCTGGGACTAAAGGCATGCGCCACCATGCTCAGCTTTATTTATTATTTTTATTTTATGTGTTTGAGTGTATTGCCTACATGTACATGAGTGTACCTGTGTCGTGCAATGCTGCAGAGGTCAGAAGAGGGCTTCGGATTCCCCTGGAACTGGAGTTAAGGACAGTTCATAGCTACCATGTGGGTGCTGGGAATCAAACCTGGGTCCTCTGCAAGAGCAGTCAGTGCTCTTAACGGCTGAAGCAATCTCTCTAGCCCCTGCTTAGGATTTTTATTACATCTTTTCTGTGTTCAGATACACAAATACTAACACTGTGTGACAACTACCTACATACAAGATTCATATAGTAGCATGCTGTGTGGATTTACAGCCTAGGAGCAATAGCTTACACCATATATTCTCTACCCTGGATGTAGGTGAGTGGTACATTGCTTGCTGAGCATACACAAGTTTCTAGATTCAATTTCCAGCACTGGAAAAACAAACAAAACTCCCCCAATCCAACTACCATATAGTTTAAGTGTGCAGTAGGCTATACCATCTAGGCATGCTAAATATACAAACACGCATGTCTCAGAATTAGTGTCCTAATCTGTAGTTAAGTGACACATAACTATATTGGTCATTACTAATGCATTCTCAGTTGGAACCCCCAAGCTTTCTTGGAGATAATAAATCTCATTTGTCATCTCATGCTTTCTAGCTTGGATGCTTTCTAGCCTTCAAAAGGGTCTTTGTAGCTGGGCATGGCGGCACACACCTTTAATCCCAGCACTCGGGAAGCAGAGGCAGGCAGAGGGGCCAGCCTGTATACACAGCCAAGTTCTAGGCCAGGTGAGGCTAAAGATTTATTGTCTCAAAACAATAAAACCATTTTCTCTCTCTCTCTCTCTCTCTCTCTCTCTCACACACACACACACACACACACACACACACACTAAATCAAAACAAAACAAAACAAAACTCAGGCCATCAGGTTCTAATGCTTTTTTTTTTTTTTTTGGTCTTTTTAAGACAGGGTCTCCCTGTAGCCCCAGCTGTCCTAGAACTCACTATGTAGACTAGGCTGGCCTTGAACTCACAGAGATCCACCTGTCTCTGCCTCCCAAGTGCTGGGAGCAAAGGTGTGTACCACCACGACTGGCTTCTAATGCTTTTTAAAAAATATTTTTATTATTACTTTTAGTTTATGTATATGCATGTATTGCCTGCATGTATGTAAATGCACCTGTGTCATGCAAAGCCCGAGGAAGACAGAAGAGGCCGTTGGATCCCCATAACTGGAGTTACAGAGTTGTTAGCCACCATGTGGATGCTGTGATTTGAACCTGGATGTTCTTCAAGAACAGCCAGTGCTCTTAACTGTTGAGCCATCTTTCCAGTTCATGATTTAACTTTTTTTTATAAATGCCTCCATCTCATTAGTATGCAAACTTACTTTCCCATTTAATAAATGATAAAATTATATGCATACATATAAAATAACTGTTTTAAAATAAATTTATTGGGCTGGTAAGATGGCTCAAAATAAATGAAAAATATTTAAATAAAAGAAATTTCTAAAGGATGGTGTGGTAGTAGCACAGTACTTGGGAGGTAAAGGTAGGAGCTCAATGCATGTTTAAAGTCTACAAACACTTGTTTTGAGTGTGGTCTATAAAACAAGTTCCAGGCCAGCTAGGGTTATAAGGTAAGTGTCTGCTTCAAAAAAACCAACAATGAGGCCAGGTGTGGTGGCGCATGCCTGTAGTCCCAGCACTTGGGAGGCAGAGGCAGACAAATCTGTGAGTTCAAGGCCAGCCTGGTCTACATAGTGAGTTCCAGGCCAGCTGGGGCTGCAGGGAGAAACTGTCTCAAAAAAGACCAAAAAAAAAAAAAACCCCAAAACAAAACAAAAACCCAATAATGACCCTGGGCTTGGTGGTGTGAACCTTTAATCCCAGCCCTCCAGAGGCAGAGCTCGTGAGATGGAGGACCCCCGGGTCCACTTCATCGCTTCCAGTGGGCTGGGATTAGTGAGACTCTGTCAAAAAACAACAAAATGGTAATAATGAAGGCATTATTATAAAATAAAACAAATATATTTATTATTTACTCTCAGTATCTGATTTGTATACCTACTTGATATACTCAGGTTCATGTAAAAAGTAATCAGGAAAAAAATGGGTCACTTCTGGAACAAAAAGTTTAAGATGCCCTGTTCCAATCTACTCTAACTACTGACTCATTTCCAGCCAATTTCCCTGAAGGTCCATTAGTTAGCCAAATAACTACCATTTCAGGGGGGAATGTTCTGTCTGGAATGTCCTTTCTCAGATCTGCCAGTCTTTCTAGCTTGTTCCCTTCATTCAGATTTCTCTATTCCTATGTCACTGCCTAAGGGGGGAGATACTCTATGACCTCTTTAGCTAAAACAATGCCTTTAAACTCCCTTGCTCTTTGGCACCATTATTGCCTCTGTTTTATGTCTCACTATCCCATTTGAGCCAGATGTGGCACATGCCTGAAATCCCAGCACTTTGAAAACTGACATAGGACTACTCAAGTCTTGAGGCCAAGCTAGGCTACACAAATTCAAAGCCAGCCTAGGTTATATATTGAGACCTTAATTCAAAATCCAGAGAGAGGGGGCTGGAGAGATGGCTCAGCAGTTAAGAGCACTGGCTGTTTTTGCAGAAGACCTAGGTTTGAATCCCACATAGCAGCTAACAATTGTCTGTAACTCCAGTTCCAGGGGATACAAAGTCCTCTTTTGTCCTCTTTAGGTACTACATGACATGGGTGCACTTACATACAGGCAGGCAATACATGAATACACATAAAATAAAAATAATTTTTTTTTCATTTTTGTTTATTGATTTTTGTGTATTTCAAAAAAAAAAATTTTTTTTTTTGGTCTTTTTGAGACAGGGTCTCCCTGTAGCTCCAGTTGCCTGGAACTCACGCTGTAGACCAGGCTGGC